AACCTTGAGGGGAAGGTGTTAGGCACCCCTCTTGGTCCACAATGGTGGGTCCCGGCCGAACTTATACTTATGAACTAGTCCATTAACAAATAAATAGTTTTAAACACATAATTACAAATAAGAGCAGGTTTCGGACATTACATGACTCAAATGATGAGACAAAGGAAAGGCTTAAACAAATTGTATACACATGGAAAGTAAAGGGAATTTGGGAAGGAGGGGTCCTAGGCTGGTTAGCCTACAGGATCACCCCACGCAATGTCCAGGTGACATTCCTCAATGAGGGGCTACACGTGACATTAACGCGTAGTCATCATATCCATATCTACCCTTCCCACCCCTTAGCGGTTATTAAGCGAATATTATTTAGCGATCTCTATGCGCACTGTTACCCGTCCCTTCTTAATGGTCCTGGAGGAAATTAGGACCTCTACCTATAGGCAGTTCTAGATAGACCCTAAGGTTTAAAGGAGAAAATACTAAGGCAACAAGCAAGAACACATAGAACTTTAGCAAATAAAAGCAGGAAGGAGCAAATAAGAGGCTTAGGTTTACCTCCGCAGATAATGCATGTAAACAACATGACTCAAACACAAACAAGGGCAGTATTATTAAACAGGATCCTAAGACATGATGTCTAGGTGAGTATTAGAACACAAGAGACATGCAGATTTTTTTTAAACTTAGAAGCAGGGGCCTAATCAGTTTGCCTATTTAAGCATGTTAACCATTAAGCAGTAAACACAAAGAGGCAGTTTCCAGTTTTATAAGAAATTTGATTACCTAAGGCTTACCTAGGCGTGGGATAATGCTCAATTATTACCAGAACTATTAAAACAGGATATGAGATATTTTACCTAAAGCATGCTGTTCTAAGTTTTACAAGATACGAAATTATTACCAGTTTTACTTAAATAGGATAAATAGACATGAGACTCTTTTATATCCTTTTTCATGCATCAATAGTTTAATTAGGTGTGACTGAGCGAGTATGAACGAGATCCTAAACATGGTATCTAATATACACATATAAGGTTCAGAATGGTTTATATGCAGAGTTCCTAAAGCAGGATTTCTAAATGCACAGCATGTTACAACATGATTTCAAAATATGCATAAGTAACAGTTTATTTTAATGTTATCGTTTATTCTAGAAATAGGATTTCTAAGTGATAATAAGGATGTCAAAATGAGATGCTGAAAATAGTATACATGAAACCTAGGAGCATGGTATCTAATGCATGATATGCTTTGCATGTATTGGTCTTAAACATAAATTCTAATGCACATACAAAAAAATATAAACCTACAACATGTTTTCTACCCTTTGATAACATGTATAGCTACCCTCCCCTTTTTCACTAGCCATCCCCAGTATTCATTTACAATGAATATTACAAACCAACATTGAATGAATTACATTAATAGATAAAGAAAAATAAGAAGTTACACTATAGGGAGCCTGCAAGTAGGCCCAGATTTCAAAAACCTCAACTGCTCAGATTGTTTCATAGCCTTTCTCAATATCCAGGTATGTCAGAGTTCCCTAAGGACCTCAAGGGATCCCGAGCAGTGCTCACACCCAGATTTCACAACCATATTTGAGTAAGTGCAGTGTGGAAGGGCCAACTCTAATGCATTAGAGTTCATAGGGATCTCATAAGAAGTCACACATTAGAGGGGGCAGAACTTAGAGATCTAAGAATAGAGTGAGAGTGCTTGACTTAGTTTTGAAAAAAAGTTTAAGTAGGAAAACAATTTGAAAAGAGACTTGAAAATAGTTTTGTAAAACAACAGAGGAGTTATTCAATAATACAGTTTTGAAAAGAGTAGGGCAATCAACAAACAACAGACCAACCTCAGAACCAAAACAAGTTCAGCATCACACATAGAACAAAGAACCAAGACAGGTTTAACACCATAAGCCTCCACACAGGGGTAAATGAGAATTGGGGATAGGTAAAGCACATAATGGTAAACACATAACAGACATAAGTCTTTGGAATTGGTACAGATATGCTCAGAAACACTGATTAAACATAGTCACAAAATCAACAATGCTTAAGGGGTTCAATATAGGATCAACATAATTTAAAATCAATCCCAAAATCATACGAGTTTAGGAGTGCAGACTACTTTACAAGGGGATTCATACCAGAAACCAGATAGAGCAAGATCACATGGAGATAGACTACATAGAGGGAGGTAACATGTTCATACTAATCCTAAGGAAGGGGAGTACATGCTAATAGTGTAAACATATCAACTACAGGTTTCACAGCAAAACCATAAGTAAAAGCAGACTAGAAACATGATGAATTAAAGTAATAAAGGACCATATTGTTTTTGGAACTTGAATTGAAATCAGAACATACCAGTAAAGAAGGTAGGAAACACAAAGTGATGAACAAGAGAGTAGAGTAATCAGCCTTGGCTTGCAGCCGACTGACTTTAGAACAATAGCAAGTAACTAGAGAAAAGAGAGCAGAAGAGAGTTTTTGTGTGTGAGAGAGAGTTTTTGAACCAATGTGTTCGTGTCCATGTGCTAATGAAAGAGCAAGGTACTTATAGTTTGAAAACAGGTAGAAAATAAGGCAAGAATCATAGTTCAACAGTAATTATGGAACTATGTACTAATTAGAATCAAATCAGTATAAGTACTTCCTTTAATTAAGGAGTTAAATTTAAACGGTAACAGACAAATACTAAATAAGGAAGAAAATCACATAAGGCTGAATATAACAAATAAGGAAATATTTTCAGCATAGTACAAGTACACAACATGTATAGAGACTAGGTTCAGCAGATTCTAATCAAGGAAAATACTTAAGAATCAATTGACAACATGTTCGACCATAGATTAAGGTAAGAAAATATCTTAAAGGTAAAAATCAGTAGAGAATATCATAAGAAATCAGTGAAGGATCAGCCATAGAGATTTAAAGATTCAAAAATAGCATATAGTACTGATTTAGGAGAAATTGACACAAATTTATGAGAACAAGCGGAATAAACACATAATAGGCATGAATCATAAACCCTAATAAACCAAATAGGGTAAAATCACACAAAATTAGGGATTCACATAGAGCATAGCATGAATTAATAGAACAAACATGACATAGGTGGAAGAAGTAAAAGTCAGAGACACTGATGAACAAAATAGGGTAAAACCACAGAGAATCATAAGGCACATGAGAAACAAGCACATATACAGATTAAGCGAACATATTATCACAAAACAGACTCAGAATCCAGAATTAAAACCAAGAAACTTAGGGTTTTCAACATAATAACTCAGATAAAAAGAGAAAACTCAAATAAACGTTTAAACATAGTGAAAATCATAGATTAATACGAAAATCAGAAGGAAAAACCATTTTGAAAAGGGGTTAAGAAACCCTGGTTTGAAGATGGAGAATCGTTTTAGAAAAATCGAAAAATCTTTAAGGAAAACAACAAAATAGCTCGGAATATACCTAGATCTATTACAGATCTAAGAAATCAAGAGCTAATAATTAGGGTTTCAGAGAGATAACCCAAAAAGAAAGAGAATCAGCCTAGAAACCACAGGTTCTAGCCGGAGACGGCATGATCTTACTCGGACAGGCCAAGATTGGCCTGAGAATGACATGAAAAATCATATGAGTGAGTTGAACCGCCTCTGGTTCCTTTGAAGACCTCAAGGCAGCAGTAACCCGACGTAGGAAGGAGCCATGAGTGCTGGGATAGTGGTGAGACCACCATAGTTACCAGCAAGTCGAAGACCGATGAGAGCTTTAGGTTTTAGCAANGGGGGGTATTCTCTAGGGTTAATTAAGGAAAGGAGAGATATGGACCGTTGTTTAAAATTGATCAACAGTCCAGATTAGACAAAGGATTGGGTCGGGTAGGATAAGGTATTGGGCCTGGGGTATTTGAGCCGTTTTAATTGGGTTGGGGTCTGATTTAATTAGGCTATAATTGAAATAAAAGTGGCTATTTGTTAAATACCCAATGTAAATTAATTAAAACAATTTACAAAATATATGTTAATTATAAAAATAAATTTCATGCATAGAAAATAATTTTAAAATGTTTATTTAGTATTAAAAAAATACACATGATTAATTTCTGGATGAAAATAGTATAAAATCATATGATTGGGCTATAATTGCAAAGTTATTACAATTATAGCCAAAAGGTACCAATTTGTCTAATTATGAAATAGTTTGGTCTTAATAGGACCAAAAATAATACATTACATCAAGAAATGCTTTTGAAATCATTTGTGAGGTAATTTTGTAATTATTTTTTGGAAATAAAATGCTGTATAAATTAATAAAAATATAGAAAAATTGTGGAAAAATATCAATTGCTAATCAATGCATGATTTTTGAAGACATATATGCAATTTGAAATATTTTTTGGAAAAAATTGGGTATCAACACTATATAAAGGGGATTTGATCATTTGCAAAACACATCATATGCACGTTACATAAAGCAATACACTATTTTTCTCCTAAGCTCTCAATATTCTGTTACTTCGTTCTTGTATCAACTTAATCCTCACTTGGTTCTAGGGTGATAAAATTCGAGGGCCAAGGCTGCTCGATTCATTTGGTTTGCTTTAATTTCTATTTACTGTCAATTTCAATATCAATCTACGTTTTGCTCAGTTTGTGCCAAGGAAAATCACGTATTCTTAAAATCACAGTATAAATTCAATTGTTATCCGTTTTTAGGGTAAACACTTTTCTTCATATCCTATCCCTTTTATCATTTTCCATCTACATGTCTTTTCGGGTAAAATATAAAATTGATCGATTCGCCAAAAACTAATTGCATTCGCTAGTAAAAAAATATATAAAAAATATGTATATTATAGGTATATAATGCACCTATATACACATAAGTGAAATTCGAATGCCCTAATTGTGAAGATGGCACGTGGTTGTGGACAATTCCTAGGAAACTTTGAAAACTATAAAAATTGTTTTTCTTTTTTCCCTTTGGATCACGTGCGTGAGCGACCTCCATTTCTCATTATATTGTTCTAGTTAGAGTTGCAGTGCCCCGGTGGGCGATGTGAAGCTGATAGTTGACGATGATGCCAAAGACAAAAACAAAACAATAAAAAAGTATGAATAAATGGCACAGGAATTGGGAAATTGACAAAGTTAGGTAAATGGAATCTATAGCTAAAAGGATTCTATAAGTCTTGTTTTGTCTTTTTGTGTTCATTGAAACATTCTATATAATCAAAATCCCTCCATACATGAGAACTGAACAGGTTTGACTAAGCCGATGAAGTCAACGCCGGCAAAATTGAAATTTGGAAATTTGTTAGTTCCAAGTGTTCAAGAGCTTGCCAAACAGCACCTTACCAATATTCCGACCAGGTATGTCCGTCCAGAACAGGAATCTCCGGCCATATTCGCCGGAACGGCGGTTCCTTCTGTCCCAGTAATCGATCTTAAAGAGTTGATGTCTGGTGATTCCATGGATTCTGAGCTTCAAAAGCTTCACTCAGCTTGCCAACAATGGGGTTTCCTCCAGGTTTATTTTCATTCGTAATTTGCTTAATTATTTTTTGCTTTCTGTGGCCTCTTGTATTCATAATTTGGCGCTTATGGGATTGTTGACATATTCATTTGGAGTTTTCTTTCAATTAAAGTTCCTAAACCCGAACCAGAGGCGGATCTAGAATTTAAAGGTGGCGGGTGCCAAAATTTTCTTTAATGTACACCTTATAAGAACTACTAATATATAATTTAACTACTAATATATAATTTGTTCGGAACGATTGTCCGGTTGATCTTTTAGTTTATTTGGGCAATTTAATAAGCACTTTATTTGCAAATATAAAAATTACATCAATTTTCCAGACCCTACTTATGAGATTTCATCGGGTATATATGTTATTATTGCCGTATGAAAATTACATCTCAGACATTAAGAAGCAAATATAATTAACATTTTAAAGAAGGAATCACACTTTTATCATTAGTAATACAAGTAAAATCAATATTTTTCACTAGGGAACTATATTTTTTTGTATGCTAAAAATAAATTTGCACAAGTAAAATAAAATCTTTAATAAGGGAACTCCATCGATCAGAATAAAATAAAAAAAAATTCAATAGATAAATTATACCCCATAAATAAATGCGTAATTAGATAAACTACAAGATCTAAAAACTTAAAATCATAAATCTAATGCTTGCGAAATATTCATCATAATTTATTACTAAAGAGATTTAAATTGTATTGACCAATCATAGAATAACACAAATTTTTTATGTTATAATAAAAAAAAGAAATTTTAAATTAATTTTGATCTCAATCTAAATCAAGACCCTAGTTTTTTTTATATTGAAAGAAGAAACTAAAAGATTTGAGATTAAAAGAAATGCTTATATTATGAAATTTCTAAATTTTGGAGGCTCTTATTTGAGTGTTCTTGCTAAATATCATAGATAAAGTAATAGAATAAAGGAAAACAAATAAAATAATAAACGACAAATAAGAAATTGGAAGGTAGCCAAAAAGGAAAATGAGTGGGAGAAAAAAATATAAAAAGCACGATGAAAAGGAAAAGTCAGACAAGGTTCAAGATAAATTCCAACTTGAATTTTACACGAGAAAAGCTTTCAAAAAGGTCTACTAGTCATGGCACCTTTGTCAAGTTTGCGGATGGGGTGGCAGGATCATATATTTAACCTAGTTTAATTTTTTTTATACATAAATATATGATAATTTTACCAACCGAGCGGGTGCCATACCACCCCCACCCATAAGGGTGGATCCGCCCCTGGCCCGAACCCTTCTTTTGTCAACCAGCGAAACTGATATAACCTTTTCTATGTGGTATTTTTGAATCTTAAAGCCTTTCAATATACTCAACACTACAAATTTGTAACAACAAATCTAATTCATTTAGCTATTAAAATCTAAAATTTTAGTACGATATTTTTAGTATTGTAGCTGGTTTCGAAATTTTTTATGTTTCACTAATTACATGACACACAGGTCTAAAATATTTTACAATGTTATGACAAATATAAGTACTATTTTGATGTCAAGCTAATAAATTTTCTTGCATTTCGTAGTTCTTTTCCATTTTATTTTTAAGATTCTTAATAAAATTTCATCTATTTAGCTCATATAAAACAATCTAACACATGCTAAAACTTGGACGGTACTGGAGTACTTATTTTCAGCTTTTCCATTTTCCTCCAAAAAAATGGGACTTAGATTTAACTGCTCTCAAGGATTAAGCATAACATCACATTAATGGAGTCTAAAAATGCATAAGATTCCATGTCCCTTTCCTTCTCACTTTCTCACCTTCTGGGAGATCTAAGCTTTGTAATTGTGAAAATGTCTGAAGCAAAATTTTCTAGCACATCTGTTTGAATGTTTTAGGTTATAAACCACGGAGTGACACCTTCAGTAGTGGAGGAGTTCAAGAGAGAGGTTACAGAGTTGTTCAAACTTCCAATGGAAGAAAAGAAGAAGCTATGGCAACAGGGAGACAGCTATGAAGGTTTCGGGCATTTATTTGTTCTATCGGAGGATCAGAAGCTCGATTGGAGTGATATGTTTGGCATAACTACTCTTCCCCCTCATATGCGGAAAATGGACTTGTTCCAAAAGTTGCCTCCCAAGCTCAGGTGCCTTTCTCCTCACTATCTCTTTCTCACACTGTGGTAACTAGTGGCAAAACTAGTGATTTTGGTAAGGGTGTTCACGATTTAATATGAATAAAAAGTAGGAGTAATACTAATCTATATACATGGTATCATTTTCTGGCGAAGAGTGTTAAGTGTTAACCTTAAAACAATCACATTCATTTCTCAAATGATTCTGAGGTCTTTAAATAAAATCAAGTGCAAAAGGTCCAAATTTGCCCATCAATTATTGTACCATTAATTCTTGAACTATGAGTTAGGTCCCTTCACTTTTCCTCGGCGACCTACAAGAAAACCGGTAAGATCTTAGCATCAACAATTTATAACCAGAAAATGAGAAGGACCCACGTAGTTTCACCCAAGCTTCATTCTGGTCATGGGTAGATCACCCAGGTTCGAGTCCATAAGCAGTGACAATTGACTTATGAAGACTTGTTTTCGCTATGGCTCCAGTGGGCTTAACCAAGCCACTGCCTATGATGTAAGATAGTTTGTTATTCACAACTTGGGAAGTGGGTTGTTCCCACATCGGAAGAGAGAAGACAATTTTGAAGTTTTTTAAGTACTTGTCCTTTTTATGTCTTTGATTTAGGACACATACTTTTAAGTATGTGCAATTAAGTACACTATATATTTATATATTATAATCAAGACTTGGGCTTGGGTGCGGACCGGGTCGGATCCTAAAATTAATTATTTTATTTTTGTGACAGAAAAATCAAATTATTTGAATTTTAAATTCAAAATTCGAACAAATAGTTATGTCTGTTATGAAAGGGTCCAACCGAATATGTCTGTTTGTGAAACAAGACATCTTTTCTGAAAGGGTCTGTTGGTTGTCTATAAATACACAAGAATTTCCAACGAAGTGGCACACAAAAAAAAATCACAAGTATTATTACAGGCTTTGTTGTATCCTGAAGAGAATCGTTTTGTATTTCCCTAAATTAGTATACAGGCGATAACTCTTTAAGAACAGTCGATTTTCACGCCTCAAAGCCATTTTTTGTTTATTATTTTCTAACATATGAGTCACCAACACATTCTTCAACCGGCACGCGGTCAGAGCCCTGGCTCCTCCTCCTCCTGCTACGGAGCTTATTGGTTCCCTGTTCTATTTCACAATATGTACCTTGAGCTATAATATTCTTGTGGCATAATAATGCGGACTTGAGATTAACCAGACTTGTGACTACTTTTTCTGTGGGAACTTGTTTTCTAACTTGAGCCTTGATCTTTAGTCTCCTCATCTATGTTTGTATGATATGATTGAATACTTTTGAAATGCAGGCACAGCATGGAAGCATACTGCAAAGAAATGAAGAGCCTAGCAATAAGCATCCTATGTCAATTGGCAAAGGCTTTAAGGATGGATGAAAAGGAAATGAGAGATCTATTCAGTGATGGTATGCAGTCAATGAGGATGAATTATTATCCTCCTTGCCCTGAGCCAGACAAGACCATTGGCCTCAGCCCTCACTCTGATGCTGATGGCCTCACCATCCTTATTCAGCTAAATGAAATTGAAGGTCTCCAAGTGCGAAAAGACGGTGTTTGGGTGCCTGTAAAACCACTCCCAAATGCTTTGATTGTGAATATTGGCGATATGATGGAGGTAAGTAATAACTTCCTTGTCGAGTAACTGATTTCTCAAAGGGTGGTAATGTAGTGAAAATTGCAGTTTTGGTGTGCAAGTTATAGGTTAAGTCTTTGTTTTATTGACGGTGTCATCTTGTTTCAATTATTAACATTTCCAAATTTGCTTGAAAGGATTTGATTCAGACTTTGCGAGTTAATAAATTTACAGATAATTCAAAGTATCCACCCTTCCTCTGAGAAAAATAAGATCCTTTGAGGAAGGTGGAAGTAGGACCAGAGGTGGACCCAAAATTTAAACTTGATCGATTCAACCTTTAAGGTTTTTAACATGGGAAAAGGGCNCCAGAGAAAAACCGAGATTGAAAAACCCGACTTTGTTAGTTTGGTTTGGTTTGGTTTATAGATTTAAGGGAAAAGGGCCAAAATTGTACCTCTACTATTGAAAATTAGTCACGTTAATACGCGTTTCTACTTTCCATCCAAAAGCATACCTGCCGTTAGTAAAGTATATAAATTTGTCCCTAACCCTAACAGATTTCCTATGTGGCACCGGGGACCACAAAATAACTTGCCAATTAAGCAAATTTTGACCCGTTTATTTTAGAAACCCGCCCCACTAAAATTTGCCTAAAAGATGGTGGTGTTAAGAGTTGTTCAAGGAGGAATCAGGTTAAATTTAAACCATTGCTAGTGACTGCCATTGCCGGCGCTGAAAGCTTTGAAGGTCCACTAAATAAATTGCTGCAGATTTTCTTTTTTTTTTCTTATTCAAATATTATATTATATTTTACCTAAACCTAAAGCAAAACCAACGAAAAATCCACCATGCCTCCACCTCTGTTCATCTTAATGATTCAGTCTAAAATTTACCACCTTCACCTTCACCCATCACCATAAAAAGGAAAACAACCAGCTACCTCCCATTACTCTCGAGGGACCAAGACTATTCCCAAAAATTTCGCTTCTCCCTCATTTATGAGACCAACTCTCACCATCTCCATTATCTAAAATTATTTTCAAAGGAGTAGAGATACCCCTTCTGTCCGATAGAATTTCTCTCACATCCCCTATCGAAAGTTGTCACAAGAAAAAGGATGAAAGTGGAGCGACTTCTGTTGAGGTTTTCAGTTTGGGCATCAGTCGGGGGTCTTCTTCTTTTTTGTTGATTAAGGCTGGGAGTTGTAGATTATCCGATGTACAGGTGAATTGATGGCTGATGGCTGGTGTTGTAGTGGAGTTCCACCAGTGTTTTTTTTTTTTGGATGGTTGTTGGAGGATAGGTCACTGCTATGTCTAAAAGATGGTGGTGTTAGAGTTGTTCAAGGAGGAATCAGGTGTTTGGAAGGTTCTGATTTTTTAGGCTGTCTGACGTGGTGCTCCGTTAGGCAAGTTATTTTGTGGTCCCCGGTGCCACATAGGAAATCTGTCAGGGTTAGGGACAAATTTATATACTTTAGTAACGGCATGTATGCTTTTGGATGGAAAGTAGAAACGGGTATTAACGTGACTAATTTTCAATAGTAGAGATACAATTTTGTCCCTTTTCCCTTTTAACATTGAACTTATTATTTACTTTTGAACTTGAGTCCAGAAATTAAGATTTGTTAGAAATTTTATTGATTTTTGGTTGTATATTTATGTTCCATGTAAATGATACTGGGTTCGATTGAACTCATAGTATATAGACTCCATACACCACTGAGTGGGCAGTCTTAATGTTTTCATGTGATTTAGTTTGCTAAATTATATGGCTAATTAGGTTAAAACTTGCTTGATTAGAACAAATTGGAGATTATATGACTTATAATTAGCTCAAGACATGTGGATTAAATAAAAAAACTATTGCTAATCCATTCACTTGCAAGTGAGAACTTATATAATCCTATTTTTGTAAGGAAAGAGCTCATTTTCTAATAGGATACTAATAAAAATTTCAATGGTGTAAATGTGTTAATTGACTTGGCAGATAGTGAGCAACGGTGTTTATAGGAGCATAGAGCACAGAGCAGTTGTAAATTCAAACGAAGTGAGGCTATCTGTTGCAACATTCTATACCGCCAACCTTGACTCCGAATTGGGACCTGCACACAGTCTTATTGGACCAAATAATCCAGCAATTTTCCGTAGAGTTCCCGTGGAAAAATATTTACTGGATTTTTTTTCACGAAAAATTGATGGAAAGTCGTATGTTGATTTCATGAAGGTAGAGACGAGGGATGACGAGTCCTAGGTAGAGTTTGATACTCTTGTTAGTTAGTTTATCTATATCACATGAAATGTTCTTATAAGTTACTTTTGCTGGTGTAATTTGGAGTTCCACTGTTTGATACTGTAAAATAGAAAAATAGTACGTACGCTCTTTGTTTCATTATATGTGAAGAGTCTTTTTATACTTGATACGGAGTTTAAAATGTTTAAGTTTTTGTATTATATTGGTATAGAGAAGGAAATAGTTACGTGGGTTAGACATTATATTTTTGGGTTGTACATCTTATCTTGCCTCATGTCTGGATTGATTTTGTTTTAAGGATGGCCTCAGGCTTTTTCACGACTTTATTTTATGATAACTGTTGCACTATTGTACAGAGTCACCCGTTGCCCCATTTTTATTTTATGTGATTGTACAAAGTCACATGATATTCAATTGCATGTTCTTACTTTTTAGGTTCATTATGTTATGATTGGGTCAAAGGTTCGCTCGGTGGACGTCAGACTTGTCAGATGCCCATCTGCGACCCTTCAGTTTTGGGTCATGATAGATTAATTAATTAGATTTAGGTATTTAATGGAGTATTAATTAGGTAAGATGTTGACTATGATCAGAAAACTTTCAGATATCACGTGTTTCCTCATGTTTATAAAATGATATTCTAGGCTACCTTAAACAGAACAAATAAAAGTACCCATGTATTATAGGACCCCCTTGTATATACATATTACACGTTACAATTTCATATCTTTGTACGCTTACTATCTAAAACATGTTCTCTTAGAGGAAGCTGGGAAAAAAAACTCATTGATGGAAAAAGCAAGCTCGAGAAAGCTAGGTGGTTTTTTGAAAGTTCCCTATGTTCGAGAGTTGGCAAAGCAACAACTAGCTGTGTGATGATATAGAGAAGACTATCTTGACATCCAATCCTTCATCCTCTTTCATATTGCCTCAAGTTCCAGTTATTGACATGGAAAGACTGCTGGCAGTTGGAAATAATGATCATCATGATGATTCAGAGTTTGAGAGGCTTCATTTTGCTTGCAAAGACAGGATTTTTCCAGGTATATTTCAATGATCAACCACTGTTCATTTTAGGTAAGTTATAGGAATAGTGTAAATGGTTAGTGATGACTCATTAGTCATCAACAATTACCCAGGGCGACCCTTCCATAAAGCAAGTAAAGCAACCACTATGGGCCCCATGTGTTTGGGGGCCTATTTTTTATTACACCTAATAAACTATGTATAACTTTTAAAAAAATGTTCTGTAAAGTGAAAAAGTTTGATTTCTTTCTTTAACAAATAGATAAGAAGGATTTGCAACTGCTATGATTTCTACCAAGGAAATTGCACTTGAAATGAATATCGAACCCGAATTTCCTAAGAAACGTGTGATATATAGGAAGTGACAATTTGATGCGAATGTTGATAATGAAATCTCAAAATCTTTCGAAGAGTACTTTAGAGTTGATTACTTTTATACATAATAGACCAGACTATTTTTTCACTTCAAAATAGATTTGAACAATTCACAGCATATGAAAATATTTTTGATTTTCTATTTGGCGGTAAAAACTAAGATCACTAGATGTTAAAAATTTGAAAAAAATATTGCCTTAATCTTGAATGTTCCTTAAAGCATAATAATCAATTCGTATTTAATGGTTTAGATTTATTTTCTGATAAAAGTATTAAGGAAAATAGTACAATTAGAAGATAGCAGTTTAATTAATACACTTAATAAAATAAAAAGATTTTATTCTTTTTCAAATGCCTAAATTGCTTATGGAATAATGTTAATAACTCATGTTACCGTTGCTTCAGCGGAAAGAAGTTTTCATAAATAATATTGATAAAATCTTACCTAAGATCAATAATGTCACAAGAAAGGTTAAATGGATTAGCCATATTGTCAATTGAAAATATTTATTAGGAGTTATTGATTATAAGTAAATTATTAACAACTTTGTATCCAAGAAAAGCTAAAAAAAATAGACTTCAAATAAATAATAATTTTTTTAAAAAAGAATTAAGGCCCTCATAAAGTTTGGCTTCAAGCCACAAATCGGGCCGCCCGTGCAACCACAAGCCAAAAGAATATAATATACTCCACTTTACATATAACAACAAAATTCAACAATCTTTTAATACTCGTTTCATGGATTTGTACAAATATTTCTCATCCTAGGTAGCCTTTTCTTGTCCCACCAATTATTATATGCATTTTTTTGGGTTGCCTGCTTCTACTTTTATACAAAAACAAAGCTTGATGGTGAGATCTATTTTCGTGTCCCACGAATCTTATATACTGATTTACCAAACCTCAATGCAAATGGAGAACTAGAACGAAATTAGAAAGTAAAGAATAAATTATCTTTTTTTATTTTTATTTTTTATGAAGTAAGGTGTTATATTGATGGCACCAAGAAGATGCAGAAATTAGAAAAAACTTTGGACTAGCTCCTGAATACAAAAACAACAATTGAAGCAGGGAGCTAAATCCAAAGATCAAACTACTTGATTGTTAAACTGAAGTAAGAGAACTAATGAAATCTACTAGGGAAATTGCATCATTTACAGGGTCTAAATTACTCCAACTGAAAAGATTCATCAAACACTTGGATTTCAGTGAACAGCTAGGAGTTGAAATGCCATCAAAACATGTGGTTCCTTTCGGTCCAAATACACCAGAAAATGCAAGCTGGAATCATCTGCATGTTGATTGCCAAAGTCCCACATCGGTTGTGGGCAAAATGTTTAGGGAAATTTCACCTATAAAAGGAGGCCTAATGTTTAGGATTGAAACACACCTCTCATTTGCTTTCTTATCTTCTTAAGGCATTTGTATCTTCTCTCTTTTAGTATTGTTTCACTTGTATTTTTGGAGTGGAATAAAATATTGGTTGTGTCCGAGGAAGTAGGCAAAATTGGCCGAACCTCGTAAATTCTAGTGTTCCTTTTATTGTTGCTTTATTGTCTTATTTATTATTTGGTGGCTGCAATAATTTTTGGTATAGTAGTTGTGACTCATTCACACTATATACATTTGGCTTCCGCAACAATTGGTATCAGAGCCAAGGTACTGTCTAAGTATGCTCTGTGGTTGCAGCATAGTCTGATCTTCCACATCAGAAAAGATTTATCTTGGTAACTGTGTCAGGGTTCTGTCTTAGTATGCTCTGTGGTTGCAGCTTAGTCTGATCTTCCACACCAGAAAGGAAATAATCTTGATTTGTGTCGTCAGCTATTAAATAATATTCGTGTCAAAATGGGAGACAATAAACAAGAAGAATCTACATCAAGTGTCAATAATACGTCATCGTTGGCATCTTCACTTATGACAAGAATTGCGTCAAATGCGAAATTTGCGGCAGAAATTGTTGACGGATCAGGACATTTTGGGATGTGGCAAGGCGAGATTCTAGATGTCCTTTTTCAACAAG